GGCCCCGCCCCCGACGCTCGCGCGCTCCCTCGCCCGGTGCCTTTCCCGCGCGCTCCTCCGCGCTCTAGAGCTGCGGTTGCCCTGTGGGAAGTGACGCGCTGCGTCAAGCGGAAGTGACGTACATCGCGTGCAGGCCCGGACCGGTGGGGGGGGGGTGGACAAGACGGCTGGATCCACAGGTCTGTGAGGGGGGGCTCGGTGGGCCTGGGGCTGGCGCGGGAAAGCGGAGCGTTGGGCTCGTGCTCGGGAGGCGCCCTCGGAAGGGCCAGAGGGGTCTCCTTTCTCGGGACGGGGGGCGAGCTGCCTCTGACGGGAGCGACGGCAGTGGGGAGGAGTTGTCTTCTGACAGGGGGAAAAGGGAAGCCACGGGGGCACCGGGCCAGGTTGTGCTCCAGGCACAATCCCTCCCCTCTGTAGGGCAGCGACACCCCTGTGAGAGCCTGGCCTAAGGGATGAATGGTGGAAGAAAGGGCTCCTGGTTTTATAATGAACGTAGTGGGGTGCTGGAGGAGAGAAGGCTTCATCTGCTGAGAGACAGGAATGGATAGATGCGTGTCCGTATAGGGAAGGGAGACGTCACTAGCCTGGTAAAAATGCTGGAGGAAGAAGATTTGTACCAAAGATTTGTGCCAGGGTACCGTCTGGTCAGTATAGAAGTCGTGGTATAGTGATATCTAAAAGAAAGGATTATCTCTTTTCCCTCTTGATGCAGGGGAAAAGAGATCAGGCCTGTGTTGTGTTTTGGGGCAAAGGTACTTCAGTTTGGTGGTGACTGCAGCATGATGGGGAAGAGAAGTGAAGCATCTTGCTCTTTCACTGGACAGCTATTGGAGTCAAAGGGTTTCTCTTATAGGCAAATGGAAGGGCAGAGAGCTGCAAGTCATCCCAGGAATTCCATATCAGTAACCAGTATAGCATGTGTTAAGTATTTGCATGACTACTGTGGAAGGTGGTGGCAAAGAAAGGGACAAGAGTATTGCTTCAAGTACTAAATGCAGAAGTTCAAGAAGCACAATTATACTGTCTCAGTTTCATTTCATGAGAGACTTGAAATATAAAAGACCTTTCCACAGTATAAAAAACCTGAAGTCTTCAGGGCCTCATTTCCCCTTCTCTCACCTCTGAGAATTTATAAGTGAGATGGACAGAGGAATGAATTGGTCTCAGAGGTCAGTCTAGGGCAAATGTTGGCTGCTAATTAATTTCTGTTCCCAGTTGACTGGATCATTGAGGGATTGAGACTATAATAGAAGAAACTTCTGTGTACTGAAACTGATCTTGGTACCTTATTGTTGATTCTGTGAGGAGAGCTTGGGCAGATTTTTTCAGGTAGGGGAGTCCTCTCCACTTGTGACTTTGGGGATGTGGGATTTACAGAGTGAAGTTTGGTAAGGTTACAACAAATTGGGGCATAGAGCAGGTCTTGCTACTCTGTGAAAGAGCAGTCCAAAAAGGTGTATTATTGCCTATGATAAACTGAGCTAGACTACTTGTCTCTGGATTGCTGGATTTTATTTTGTTAAAATTTATTGACTGACTTCTTGGTGTCTAAGTTTAAAAGGATTTTATTATTAGTTTTATTATGCAGCAACTCCCAAAGACTTCAGCTTATGTCTGGGCTCTGGCCTGGGATTTCCTGTAATGCACAGGAAATAAGGTTGGTTTAGGTCATGTGTATTGAGTATTGGCATTTGACATCACAGTCCCTTCAGTCTGGCTAGTGTAGAGTATCAATTACAAAAAATTTGTATATTAAAAAAAGCCTTTTTCTTCCTACAGAACATTCAACTCTATAAGAAGAAATATTTTTTGACCAGACTTTCTTAGTTTTATTGCTATAAATGCTCTTCACAGTCTTACATGTGTGATTTTAAAATCTCCTATATACACTTACTCAGTGTGGCTGTTTTTATCTTGGAAATATAGCCACACCTAAAGTTCAAAAAAGTGGGAGATATAGAAAACTATTCATACATGTATCTGCTCCAAACAGTGTAAAATGCTGATAGTGCATGTACGTGTTGTTCAAGAAACAAAATCGTTTTAGTAAAATGAAGCAAGCAGACAGAATCATCAACAGAACTGCTGGGAAAATTAGTCGGGACTTCTAAAGCAAAATACTTACTCCAGTGGAGAAAATACTATTGGCTTTTTATTGGTATATGCATAGATTGGGGGGGCAAGGGGTGTTTGTTTTGTTCTTTCCACATCGTATGTAGAAATTTAGATTTTTGAGACTTCACCCAGAAGAACTGCTCTTGCCAGGAAGCTGTGTTATACTCATTTGTGGAGGAGGGAAGGGAATGATTTGCTGTAGACATAAGATTTAACTCTACCTAGCTCTGTGAATTTAATCTGTTCTTGCTATAAAGTTCAACTTAATCCTTATTTATTTCAGAAAAAAAATGAATGTTTTGGTTGCATGAAGTCTAGGAATGAAATTCTAGCCCCAGGAAAGTCAACAGCAAAACTTTTATTAAGGTCAACTGTCTTCATTTTATCCCAGAAATTCCTTTCCTGGACTCACTAGTTCTTTGAACACTCACATAAAAAATTGCATGTCTTTAGCAACAGATAGTTTAGTTTGAAAATAGCTGTTCTTTAATGTGTGCTAAAGAAATTGTGTGTGTCAGTGTTATATTGTTGTCAAATAAGTATCTCACCTGCTTTCTAAAATCACCTGTCTTGACTAATTTTACATGCAGATATTGCATGTCCTGGAAATGGACACTTGTAAGCTGCAATTTGATTGATCTTCTGATATTGCAACTCCTTCTGCTTGAAGCTGGATCTAGGTTGTTTGTGTGGGTACTGCTGGAGGTCTGGGGAAAAACAAGTCTTTTTTTATAGAAAAGAACAGCTATTGTTGATATAATCAGCTAATTTCATATTGATTAGCTGGAGATTCATTCTATTAATATCTTTGAAAATACAGAGCAGGAGATGTAATTAAACATAGTTTCAGGTTAAAAGAAATAATTTACCAAAGCATGCCATTTAAAATCTCTTGTGTAACTTGAGAAAAAGAAATGGATCAATAATGTCATTAAAAGGAGTTAATTCCGGAATTAATTTCTGCATTTCCATAATTCAGGTTTTACTTAAAATTACTTATGTGTATAGGGTATAGATATAGCTATCTAAAATGTGAATGTTTGCTAAAAACAGTGATCATGTCACCAAGTGGTTAGAACTTAATGTGTGAAAAGAGGAGAATTAAGGCACCTGTGTCTAATACTGTGCTCTGACTATGGGCTGCTAAAGCTTTTGTCTGCTTCCTCTTCAACCGAGGGCTTCAGTAGCTTGGGGGAGGGTGAATAGGGCTAAGTTAATGAAAATTCCCCTTGGCTTGCTGAAACTGTGCACTTGGGAAAAAAATCGACTGACCTACAGTCAGCAATTATGTATCAGATTCCTGATTTACTTCTAGTATGTAATCACAAGCAACCTTTTTTGAAAGTGTGCTTAATGTCTTTGAAGGAGCACAGCTAGATCCCAAGCAAGTGTGTTTTCTGTAAAATCCATACTCATTTCCAGATACTCTAATCTTTAAGGATGAGTTGGCTTCTTTGTGCAACTTGCCCGTAAAAAAAAATCTTTCCCTTTGAATTTATATATGATTGATTCTTGGAATAGAAATGGCACAATGCTCAATGTCAGTGCCTTGTTTTCTTAACTTTGGATTTTACTTCTATTTGCAAATATTTAGTGGCGGTGAAAGCAGTTCTGAGTGTGCGTGACTGCAGCTGTAAGGAAACTGTTATTAAAAATGAAGGGCTGGAAGTGCTCTTGAGTGGCATTCAGTCTCACTCCCTGAGCTATGAAGCAAGAACTGACCATATCTTTCCTGGTGATTGAGGGTTTTGTTGTTGGTTTTGTTTTGGTTTAAAAGCTTTTTTTTCCCCTAAAATCCTCCATTGAAAAATATTCCATAATGTGAGAGAGGGGTTTTATAATACTTTCCCTTAAATCATTTGCAACTCTTCTCCAGTCCAAATCAAGCTGTTGTCTGTCTGTTCTATGCTTAGTGAGACAGAGATTGATGGATCACCATAACCTGTGAAGACTGCTAGATATTAAGAGCCATTCAGAGGAGTAATAAAGGAATTTATTCGTAAGTGGGAGGTAGAAGTAATGTTTTCAAGACTATTTTTTCCATATAGGAGATGGTATAATTTAAGCTTTGTATCTAGGAAACTTGTGTGTTAAACTCTTTGCAGGTAGGCTTCTCTTTTCCTCTGACCTGTTGGATGCCTGTTTCCTCCCTCTTTTTTTCCTTGTGGAGGAAATAGTTGTCTGTTTTTTATCTAGTATGTTTTACCTTCAAGGATATATTACTCCCTCTGCTTTTCTGTATTACGTGTCCATCACATTCACTTATCCAGAACCAGTTTAACAGCTGTTTAGAATTTTATGGTCCTCAAAGTTTGTTCTGTGTATTTATAAAGTTAGCTCTGTAAGCGCAGACTTCTTGAAGCTGCAAGTAATCAGACAAAACAAAAGAAGCAAAATACTGTATTCTGTGAGGCAGCAAACACTCTGCGAGGGGCATTTTTCCATCCTGTCCTATGCACAAGGAATTGCAACTGTGATTGTTCTGTCTGCTTAAAAACAACTTGGCAAGCCACAAATAATTTAGATGTGCTTCAGCTGGGATGAAAACAATCTAGCTTACAAATGACTTTCAAACTATTTATAGACCATCAGTTATTTCCAACTTTGTGGCATATATAGGCAAGATACTTTATTTCTTTTTGCAGCTTTACTCGTACCATTTTCCTCTCTTTGTTGCTGGTACTTTACAACTCTGTCTTTAAATAACAAGCCCCAATTTCTGTCTTTCTGCCACAATAGCTGTGTAAGAGTATGCTCACAGGCTGAACACCTTACTTCTGAGATAAAAAAGTGGCCTACTTTGTAATCTTCTATTTGTTTGAGAGTTTGTTTGAAATTCAAGGACGTTACCGGGCATAGTCATAAACCCCATTATCTAAGCTATTCTGTACAATGCCGGAAGATTTTTAGCTTGGGTGAAGATACAACACACACAGTTTTGAGAAGATACGCCTTTCAGCAGTTGGAGGCAGATGGTCCGTGCTGTAAATCTAAGCACAGATGAGAAGGCTTCTCATGTGTGAGAATTAGATTTCCAAGTCTTATGAGTAGTTGGTGAAGTTGA